GGGGGGGGGGGGTGCTGGGAGGAGTGGGAAGGTGGATGACCCAGACTGCAAATTATTCATCATGCCTGGAGCATTTGTGAGTAATTGGCTACTGGAATGATTTTACATGAGAATTATAAACTTCTATTCTGTTTAGTCCTCTAAGTTTGGGTTTTCTGTCACCAAACCCAACACTAATTAACGAAATCCTCAAACTTCCATCAGCCATTCCTCAGAAAGTTCAGCTCCAAGTCCTTCTGGCTGCTCTCCTCCTGGGCACGCCCCATTTGGTAAATGCTGCTCTTAAACTCTAGCATCTGGGGCTGAATACAATACTCCAGATGTGATCGGGCCAGCCAAGAATCTACCGAGCTCTTGAACTGCGCACCTGTGATTCAATCACACAGCCCGCAGCAAGCCATTGCAAACCCACCCTGAGCTTGCTGTAAACAAACCTTCTTAGTTCTTTCTCTTGTATTTCTCTTGACACACAACTGTTTGATCACAAGCTAGCCTTTGGGTACAATATGGAGCATAAATTATAATTGTTATAGCCTTAATGTTTGTTCAATAAACAAAACAACTGCTTGCATAAACTTCTAATTTTCAACTAGGTATTTTATCAACACCCACTATCTGATCTGAGAAGCTACATTTAAGAGTTATTATTGAAAAAAAAATATTTGGATTGAAGTTCCTGTACTGAAAACCCTTTGTTTCTTTGAGGTTTGTTCATCGATCCCAAAGTGACTTTGAGAAGAAAATGATACATATTTCATTGTTAAAATATTTTTTCTCTTTAGGTTTTATAATGATATGTCCTAACTGATCCCTCTGCTTCCAGTTTTCCCCTTTCAACTTATTCTTTACACTGTACCCAGAGTGACTTTCTAAAGTTCAAATCTTATTACACTGCCTTGGCCAAAAATCATTCAGTGGCCCCAGATGATTGAGGATGAAGTTCAAAGTCGTTACCATGGCTCAGAAGACATTTTATGATATGATTCTCTTAATCTGCACCAACTCTGCTTTGGCCAACAAACTCCTTTCTGTTCCTCTCTCCTTCTTGGTCTTGGAATATTTTAGTCTCTCTACCTGGAATGTTCTCCACTTCTTTCCAGTCTCCACCTGGTGAATCTTACTCTTTCCTTAGGTTTTGATATGGATGTTTCTTCTTCCAGGAAGCTCCCTTGCATTGGGTCAGATGCCACAACCATGGGTTTCTACAGTGTTGAATGCTTCTTTCATCACACACCAAATCGAATTGTTTTTAATGATAGGACCTCCCACTCAACTGTAAATTTATGAAGGCAGAGCTTATTTTTTTATTGTTCACTGTTGTTAGTATTGAATAAATGAACAAATTTATATAGACTTCTGCTTGAATTCAATCTAAACAATTCCAAGTAAAAATGTGGATTTAAACCAAGCCCTATTGGAATTAGTTGCTGTAACATACATGTTATAGCAAAACATGTCTTACTTGTCCTCACGGATCCGGAAATTGGTCTGCTGTAGGTTTTCCAGGAATCACCACTGACAGTCTTGACACTGAACTGATAGGATCTCCCTGGACGAAGGCCATAAACAATGCGTCCCTCTGATTTTCGGTTGCTGTAGGGGTTGAAGACTGTGATTGCATCTTTGGGTAACCACTGCACCTCAAAGTCATCGTAGTCTGTCCAGTCTGGTGGGCCCTTCCAGGTGATGGCCAAGGATGTGTTTGCAACATCAGCAAATGACATAAGACTGGGAGGACTTGGGGCTGTGTGGAGGAGAAAGTGAAAAATCATATAATCACTTCTATGCCATCACATATACAAATAAGATAGCTGAGCGACCTCAGCCATACTTCCAGTGTGCTTTGTAGGAAGAGATAACATAACATAACTATAGGAGCTTCATTTATAGTTTTTACTATATGGAAGGCACGGTCCTCAAGTGTTTTATGTACATTTTCTTTAATTTTCATAACAAGAGCTTCCTTAGCAGGTGCTCTGGAGCATGAGTGTGCCCTGAATGGGTTACAAGTGTGCAAAGGTATTGATTCCATCATATTTTGAGATGTGAGGGCTAGAGTCGATAGGCCATGTCCCATTTCAGATGGCCTTGTCCATGGACCCCAGCATGGCATACATATACATTAATGTTATCTGTGTGTAACCAAGAAATAAAAAAAATTTAGGAAGCACTGCTCATAGCCACACAACGGTAATGTATGTAATTATCCCCACTTTACAGATAAGAAAACTGAGACTTAGAGATGCTCAGTGACCTGCCCAGTTTATTTAAATAAGTGGCAGATTTAAGCTAAGGACCTAGATCATTTTAACCAAAGTCTGTTTCCTTTATCCAGTGTACCACTGTGCCTTCCCCAGGTTCAGGGGTTAGCACATGGTACACCACTACTGACTTTATGTCTTCTTATTAAAACCATAATTAAAATGTGTCTTTGGAAGCTACCTCCCAATACTTGATCATTGGCAATTGGGCTTACCTGTTCTGCTCTCCCCCAAGACCATATTGCTGAGATCTCCGCTGTGAGTTACCACACACAGAGTGTACTTCCTTCCAGGAACAAGGCCATGAAAACGCCACTCCGTCAGGTCCTTTTCTTTCCAGTTTTCCTTCTTTGTGCCATTGGGATTATAGAGAATCAACTCATAAAAGTCAAAGTCCCCAGGGGCTGGACTCCAGCTGAACCAGAGACTGTCTGTCATGTTCTGATTGGATCCCTTGAGGTTACTCACAGAGGCTGGGACTGAAACAGAGGGAAAATCTTCACTAAAAACAAGCCAGAAACTAAGGCACTGGGCCCACAGGTGAAAGTATGAGCTATGTTGGGCATATGGGCGAGTAGCTCCTATTGTAGAGTCAGATCTTGCCTATATTTCAGGTCACTTAGGTTTAGGGGAATGTGGTCTAGAGACGTGATCCAAATTAAAATAAAACAAAACACAACAGGTGGTGGCTTTTATATGTTTGCCACATGTACTCTAATGGACATATAAAATGAAATCTTCAGAAATGATTAATTAAAACTGGTCAAACAGCTTATACCTTAGTTCATAAAAAGCCCTAAAAGTGTTCATAAAAGGTTCCAACCTCTTGCAATCAGGCCCATCTTACTGTGGCAGCCATCCCATAACATCCCTCTCTGGGTCTCTTCCCTTCCTCTCCAGCTTTTAAGTTCTCAGTTTTCTCATGCTCTTTCTCACCAAAATCTTTATTAATAGTCACTTCTACCTTTGTATAAATTGGTTACGCAGGCACCTGTCCCTGTCCCATGGATATTTGAGTATCATCATTCTTCGAAGGGCAAAGACTGTTGTCTCTTGTTGGAGGACTTTAAACATTAATGAGCATATAAGAGAAGATGTGCGGAGCCCAGGCTGCTCCGGAAATAGTAACATCTAGGCAAGTCTATTCATGCTTTAGGCATATCTGCTGCTACTTGTCACTCTCTTCAAAAGACAAACTGAGGACTTCAGTTGGGTGCCTGGAATGTGCTCTTCACATGGCTCCCCTCAAGTTTCAGCTGAAATGCCTTCTCTGTCTAAAGTAGTTTCTTGTCCTGCCAAGTCTCCATCTGTCACAAAGTACTGTTTATTTCGTTAGAATTCGAGGTGTTCCAAATCATCTCCTTTTAAAATCTGCTGCTTCCTGGCCCTTCTCTCACCACTAATGTCGAACTCTATGAGGTGAGGGGCATCATCTGTCTTGTTCACTGTCACATTCCAACGGAGAGCCCAGGGCCTGGGACACAATAACACTCAAAAACTAATGTCAAATGAAAAAAAAAAATTGACTAGAAAAATGAGATAATGGGCTCAAATAATGGAACAAGAGTAGGTGCAGTGTCTCTCTGCAGCCCAGAGAGATGTTTCTCCCTCTCATTTTCCTGGAACTACTGGTGTTCATCTCATCCAGGGCTGTGGTCTTGATTCACAGCAGTCTTTGCTTACTGGTCCCACTCGTAGTTGTCCTTCTCTGGACCTGCCCAGCACTCCATCTATGTCTTGTTGAAAGAATTAAGGGCAAAGCTTGAATTGAGCCGTGATGGGTTACAACCCTCTTGCAAGTAGAGGAGCCAGATTCAGTTTTTCATCAACCCTACGAGGTAAACAAGTGGAGGCAACAGAGTGGGACCCAGTGCAAAAACTATAATTAAAGGTCTGATTTAGGGTCAGAAAGCCTGAAGATCACAAGTTTCATATAAAGCTATACCCTGGACAGAACAGGAAACTAAGGACAAACCAAAGAAAAGCCAGTGGCTATTGTGACAATTTCCCTGCTATTCATTACTCCTTGGGTTCTGGTCTTACCTGTTCTACCGAATATGAAAGACTCATTAGACAGCTTCCCACTGTGAGTTACAATCACCATTTTGTACATTCGGCCTTGCAGTAAGTTCTGGAAAGAAAAGCTCTGGACTTGCGGGTCAACTTGAGCTCTGTCCTGAAGAGTTCGATCTGGGTTGTAGAGAAAGATGTTGTACCAGTTGAGCTCTCCCTCTGAGGTGGTCCAGCTAAAAGACAGGTGTCTGGTGGAGTTCTCTGTGATCCTCAGGTTGGTGACAGCTGCTGGGACTGGAAAAGTCGAGGAGCAAGAGAGTGAGATTGAGTTTCGGCATGTCCCTGACACGGCCTAGGATGGCGCCTGGATGGACTCACTCAAACAGCAGCTCAAACATATGGTCCCTGCCTTTAAAAAATATTGGCTTCATGGAGACCCTAAAGCAAAGAAATCTAATTTTTGATGCCTAAACTGTTCATTTAGAAAACAAAACCACAAAAGAACAAGGAAAGCCAGTAATGGGAAAGTATCTTCCAAGATATTTCGGGGGGCGGGAGGGCGCGATACATATAATAAGTGTTAATCTGACACATGCGACTAAATGTTTTTCTAATTTTAAGAGCTATATCAGAGATCAAAAAACTATCTCTGAATGCCATCTGAGAGCTAGGAAATGACCGTCAGAGGGAAAGACTGTGGGGAGGAGAGAGTGGGTGGGAAAGAAAGGGAAAAGCAGAGAGAAAGGGGAAATTAGAATCAGGAATATGAGAAAGAGAAGCAAGAGGAAAGCCAAAAACATTTTTTTAAAAGTTTACATTAGGATTTTGCCCCCCATTGGCCTGTAGTGCTACCTGTTAGCAAAGCAATCAAATGCCAACAGAAATCACCTGTTTCGAAACTGCTGGCACAGATGCTCACTGATTCCACAGAAGTCTTAAGATGCAGGTGGAAACAGAAAGAACATCTGTCTTGGTCTCTCCTGAGTTCTTTCCCTCTACTGCAAACACTTCTCAGGCTCTTTTGCTTTCTTCCTCTCCTTATGCCAGGCCCTTAAAAGTTGTTTTCCATGGTTCCATCCTTTGTCCCCTTCATATCTTATAACACGAACTAAGCAATCAATCTCGTTCACTTTATGTATTACTATGGTCTGAATGTTTTGTCTCCCTCAGATTCATATGTTGAAACCTACCCCCAAGGTGATATTAGGATGCAGAGCCATTGGGAGGTGAGTAGGTTATTAGGGTAAAGTCCACATGAACAGGGTAAGTGCCCTAAAAAGAGGCCCCAGAGAGCTCTCTCCTTCTTCCACCATGTGAGGACACAATGAGAAGGTGCTGTGTATGAACCAGAAAGCAGGCCCTCAACAGGCACCAAACCTACTTACTGGCGCCTTAATCTCAGACTTCCAGCCTCCAGAATTGTGAGAAATAAATATTTGTTTTTTTAAGCCACCCAGATTATGCTATTTTTGTTATAGCAGCCTGGACATACTAAGATATGGATTTAACTAGAATTTGTGTCCAAATCTTTATCTCTAACTCACATTTCTGAGCTTGGGCCCATATTTTCAATTACCAATAATCACCTCTCTATGAAAGGTGATCTCAAACTCAGTCCAGAATGGATTCCTGTATATTTCTCCTTGAAACTCCTCCTTCCTGCTTCTCTTATCTGAATTAATAGCATTTATTCTACCAGACGCACCAGGTAGGAACTCTGGAATCTTCTGTTCCTCCATCTGTACTCCACTTATCCACCAAGTGTCATCTTATCTAATATAGAAATAGTTCTTGACTATATCTACTGTTCTTCATAAGGGCCCCTGTGTTTAGCTTTTGACCTTTAGGATTTCTACAACTGATTGTCTCTTGACCCCAGTTACCTTTCTGACAGCCCCCCCAACCTGTTCTTACTCACTCTTCTCCAGCTCCGCTGACCTCGTTTTCCTCCTGTAGGCCTGTCACCTTCCCATCTCAGGATCTCTGCCTTGCCATTTGCTCTGATCAGGGCTACTCTTTCCCAAATATCTGTGTGATCTTCTCTCTCACTTCTTTCAGATTTTTACTCAAATGTCACCTTCTTAAGGAAATCTTTGAGGACTGTACTATCTCAAATTGTAAGCCTCCAATTCTTGCTATCCCACTTTCCTGCTTAGTTTCCTCTTTGATATTTATTACCATCTAACCTACTATGTTTTTACTTATTTTGTTTATTGCCTTTCTCACCTACGAGAATGGAACTCCATGACCATGAGGGTTGGTTTTATTCACCTCTGTGTAGCCAGCAGTTAGAACAGGGCCCAGCATACAGCAGGTACTCAATAATGAACGAATGAATGAGCAAGTCTCCCCACTCTGGTCTCTTTTCCATTCAGCCCATCTCCCCATTGCCATCTGGTTTATCTTTTTTAAGGTACAAATTTTTATTACAAAACATTCACTCTCTGGCTAAGAAAACTTTATTGCTTCCTCACTGATTACAAGATGAAAAATAAACTCGTGGGGAAGGCATGCCAGGCGCTGTCTAATCTGGTCCCACCCTGCCTTTCCAGCCTCACTCCCCATCATGCAGCACATACTTCAGCCACCCACAAAATCTCACTGCTCTTTCTCACACCTCTCTGTCTTGGCTCAGGATAATCTGTCTGCACAGGATGTCTGGGTGTCTATCTACCTCTTCTCCATGTGGAGAACTGTTTCATCCTTCATGGCAGTACTGAAATGTCACTTTTATGAAGGCTTCCCAATTCCACCCAACCCCCATATCCCCCTTGATGTCGGACATTCCTCTCTTATATAAAAGTCTTATCACAATGTATTGTCATTTTTCCATGTGTCTCTCTCCCCCACTAGTCAGTTCTTCCAGGGTTAGAAATGTGCTTAATTCATCTTCATGTTCCTATCATTATCACCCCTCTTTCAGACCTAGGTACTTAATAAAGAAGTAATCAATTAGACCAGAGCTGTCTGAATAATGGCCTCCAAAGATGTCCCTGTCCCAATTCCCCAGGACCTATGAATTTATTACTTATGTGGCAAAAGGGACTTTGTAGATGCAATTAAGTTAAGCATCTTGAGATGGAGAGCTTATCCTGGATTGTCTGGGTGGTGACGGATGTAATCACAGGAGTGAAAATATGGAAGAGGGAGGCAGAAAAGTAAAGGAGATGGGGTGACAGACACAGAGGTTGGAGTATTACCATTGCTGGAAGGGAGCCACGAGCCAAGGGACATGGGTGGCCTCTAGAAGAGATAAGAGCAGGAATAGATTCTCCCCCCAAAGTCTCTAGAAGAAACACAGCCCTGCTAACACCTTGATTTTAGCCCCATAACACCCATTTTCCGATTCTGACCTCCAGAACTATAAGATAATAAACTGATGTTGTTTTAAGCTGCTGAGTTTGTGGTAATTTATTATAGCAGCCATAGAGAAATGATAGAGCCAGTTTTGATGAAAAACCTAAATTGGAGTATGGCGGGCTGAAGTCTGTGTCCACAGGCCAACTGATGTGGAAGTGATCACTCATGAAGGATGTTCCTACTGTGCTAAGAAATATATGTGATTACTCTCTCCCCCTCCACCCACCTGCCCTCCTCCATCCCTCTGACATCCGTCAGTCTTATCTATGCTTCCATGTCATTGAATCTATTCTGTTCATCAGTTTATTAAGTTCTTTAGATTCCACGTATAAGCGAGATCATGTGATGTTTGTCTTTTGCTGCCTGGCTTATTTCACTTAGCATAATATGGGACATCGACAATGGTGCGAAGAGGGACTGGGGAGGAGGAAGGGATGGGGTGGAACGGGTCACTGGGGAGAAAAAGGGACATCTGTAATATTTTAAACAAAAAAAAAAAGAAAAAAAAAGAAATAGATGTGATCTCCTAATGTTGCTTCATCCCTCTGAGGCTACTGTTCTCAAGGAATAGCAGACAAGGAGATGTCTCGCACAAAACAGCAGGCTGTGTGAATTACCTGTTCGGCCTTCCGTTTGGGCTTCCTTGCTAAAGAGGCCTCCACTGACAGTGAGGATCTGTATCTTGTATTTCTTTCCTGGTGTTAGGTCTTCAAATTTGTGCTGCTTGGTGGTGGCTGGCTTTGATGTGTTACTCAGAAGGATCCCGTTTTCATTTAGAAGTAGGATATCATATCTTTCTGCCACGCCAACGGCTTTCTGCCAACTTACTATTAAGGAATGACTGCTGTATACATTGTCTGCAATTATTCCCTGGACAGATGCTGGGACTGCAAAGAAAGAAAAGAAGCAGGTTCCATCATTTAGGGTAAAGTAACCAGTTGAGAAAAAAATATCCTAAAGCAACTGCAGATAAAAGATGTTGCCTCATTATTGCATTGACACTTTCCCAATTCCACCCAACCCTCATCCCCCCCTTGATGTTGGACTTTCCATGTGCCCTTGGAAGAAAATATTTCTTGTCCTGAATTATCTGTAGAATTGTTTTGATTCTCAATTTTTTTTTCTCAGAATTTACATAGCATCTTGAAATCAAACAAGTAGAAAAATTCGTGGAAGTGACACTGACAAATATGCAGAGGAATATCAATGTATTTTTCTAAAGAGTGAAGGAATGTTGAATAAATTTACATTCAATGAATATAGTTTAGAATATATAGCCACTTGTTTGAACTTTCATTCCCAAGATTGACTCAAGTCAAAGCTTCAAGCCTTGACCTAAGCAATAGTATATAACAGTGTTTGTACTATGGCTCCTGATGTGAAAGGCAAATTGTATTATTTGTTCATAGTATTTTCTGTCCTAGTCTCATATTTTTTCTCATTCTACATAATCTCCTTAGGAGACCTCATCCACTCCCATGGTTTAAATTATTACCCATACGGTGATGTCTCCCAAATTTGAACTTTCAGTTCAGATGTCTTCTATTTTTTGCAGGTGATATCTCTCTCTAGATGTTCCACAGATGTTCAACTCTCAAGATGGTCAAATTGGACTCCTCATCTCCCTCCGACAATTTCCTTACTATCCTTTGTTTCTATCTCTTGGTCCAAGTCAAAAACTTGGGTTGTCACTCTTACCTTTCTACATATATTTAATCACAAATCTTATAATTTCTGTCTCCTAAATCTTTCTCTTGGATCTCTCCACATCTCTCCTTTTCTCCTACCACTACCTTAAGACAATATTATCTCTCTCATACATTATTGCAAGTCTCTTGACCAGTCCCCTTGATTCCTTACCTCTCAGTTTCAAACTACACGTTGTATCTGGCATATTCTCATAGAACACCCATGCTGATTACCCTTCAGTGGCTCTCCATAATTCTAAACACCTTAACAAGGCATACAAGGCCCGTGGCTCACATTCTTTATTCTAGCATACTAGAATGTGGGTACTAGTGTGTGGGTCCTCAATGTGCCAAGCTTTCACCCCAAGGCTTTTGCTTTTTCTGCTGAAACCAAGTCAACATATTCATCATTAGGATGACTTCTTAGTGTCTGTTTAACTAGTACTTCCTCCTGGACGCCTTCCCTTATTCTTTCTGTTTGCTATTATAGTACCCCATAATCATTTTTATTTTAGCATTTACTATGTTGTATTATAATTGTCTTTTTACTTCTCTGTCTCTTTCACTAGATTATAAGTTTCTTGAGGTCAGGGGGCATTACCTTGTTACTGAACTCCCATTTTCTAACATAGTGGTTGACATAGTAGGGCCCAGACCCCGCAACTAAATAGATGCTAATGAGAAAGGAAGACATCTAAGAAGTATTGTGTCACAGTAGAGAGAGCATGAGGCTTGGAGCCAGACAGGTCTAGATTTGAATTATAGCTCTAGATCTTATTGCATGTATCCTAGATAATGTTTCATAAGCCTTCTGAGCCTTACTTCCCTCATCTGTAAGGTGGAGATAATGATCCTCTGCCATGTAGTGTGACTAGCGATCATTTTAAATGCCTGGCATGGAGCAAGTGCTTGTAGATTATTTTTGTTTTGAAAGTAGTATATTAATAATGATAGCAATATAAATAAACAGATACATTATTCATTCATCATTTGTTCTTTAGCTATCACAAGTGAAGTAGATGGCATAGGTATTTTTTTGTCCTTAAAAAAGAATTTTGAGAAAGGGGTGAAATTTTGAAAAATGCATATAGAAGTCTGCTTGTTAAGGTTTTAAATCCTTTAGCAAGTTTAAAAATTTATTCAAATGATTCAGTTCTTAATTACATTTCATTTGTTTTGAAAGTCTCTGTTAAGAAAGAAAAATGCAAAAAAAAAAAAAAAAAAAAAAAAAAAAAA